ATTGAGTTTGGATGCCAACTACCTACCTCCGAACACCAATAGGCTGTGGGTATCTCATATAGGGCCACTGTAATTTTGTCAGCCGCATCAGGTATAGAAGCAGCGGCAAACATCATTGCCAGGATACGAATGAGCACATAAACTATTGAAAGCCAAAAATAAATTTCGGTCATAAAGTTACCTTTGTCACTGTCCATAGAGTAGCAGAAAAATTAAAAAAAAAAAATAGTTATAATATATATGCAGTTGGATAAATGCCATACAAAATTGTATTCTGTAATTTTGAAGCAGTTTTTGTAGATTTTTTTATAAAACCAAAAAATACTTACTGAAAACTATGAAATATTTGCACACATATGAAGTATAAATTGTGTGCACAGGCTAAAAGCACTAAATTCGACAATTTTTCATCGTATAGCCAGAGCACATCGGTTAAACTCAAAAAGTCCCGTCTCATTTCTTGCCAAAACCCACGTGGCATGGGCTGTAAATAAATAAAAAAATTCTTGTGGTATTTTAAGAGACCTTGCAGTCGAGCATGTCTGTGACAATTTTATAATAAAATTTGCACCTCGTTTATGTGACGTTCAATTCTCCAATGAAATTGATTAAAGCGCATCGCAAGGCTTCCACATACCAGGGTGAGAAAAATGTCTATGAAATTCCATGTAAATGTCATTGCAAACGTTATCCACTTATGACGTCACATTCAGTAAAGGCATGCATTTAAATAGAAACGTGTTTAAATGATTGCAATGTAGTATAAATTTAAATAATTTTTTTTATTTAGAAAGCACTTAATAGGATAAAATATTTGGAAGAGATTTGTTCAGTGCTCTGAATATAATATATATATATTTTAAAGCTCAATTTCTTAACCGGAAGTCTATATCACTAGCACCGTCCGTCAAATGTTGCATTTTTGCTTTAAACGATATCATTTTTAAAAAGATATTGATAAATTGAACCATGCATAATACATTGAATACTATAGCTGTGAGAGAGAATCAGCATTTAGAAAAATATAATATAAGCAGCACTAAAAAACCAAGGCTGACTCTTAAGCACTAAGACAGTCAAAATAACTCATTTAGTCAATAACAGAATTGACAAGTTAAATATATTGTGAAAAGTTGGGACAGCGCACCGTCCAACAAGTGGCCCCGAAACGACTTGGGTCCTTTTTCTTTTTTCGATTCTCGGATGTCGTTCTTAAGTTAAAGCTAGAGCAGCTTCCATTCGCATAGCTGCATCTCTTGTTATTGCATGCAGCTCATTTGGCTAGAGATTGACTGCCAAGTCATCACCAACCCAATGGTGTCCCAAGACAGTCATCCTCCTGCTTGCCAGTGCTGGACACTTGCATAATATATTATTGACAATTTCCTCAGTCTAAAAAATTTGAACTCAGATAAATCAGTAGTTTCTTTACCTGTCATGCTACTGTTGACTATCACGTATTGACAGTAGATGCAACTTAAGGACACCAACAAAGTTTGTGAAATGCAGAGTGAAACTTTGTTGTAGATCTTAGATCTAATTCGATTCACTGAAATTAAAATGAATGTACTGGACTCATTTATTTAGAGTCACAGGACACGAGCAGATTCTATCGTATTTATGACTGACAAGAAACGAGTTTAGTACATTCATTTGAATATTATTAAATTAAATAAGATCTAGAACCTACAATCAAGACACATTATTAGGTTCGCCAACAGCATTAATTTGTCTATATTAACTTAGGATAATTTTTTTAGCTATTAATAGCACAATAGGTCTTCAGACCCGCAGAGTACCATTGTTCCTTTTAAAAATAATAATAAATATTTATATTTTTTTTTTCTATAATAATAATAATAGCAATAGTAAATAACAATAAGTCCAGTCAAACTTTCATAACTTCAACTTCTATAAATCGAATTTTCTATAACTCAAACTATATAGAGTGTAATAGGGTTTAGAGAGCAAATAACATACAATAACAAAATAAAATTCTTTAAACGAAAGTCTCC